TAACAAATCGAGATTTCATTAAGAGAAATAAAAGAATATACAAAGGCTTACAAAAAACAACCCCAACAAAAAAAGGAGACCCATTCAAACAACAAAAAGGAATTCCAAAACAACAAAATCAAGGACTTAGTTACAAAAATGCTAGGTGACAACAGCCACAAGGAGGCATTGAACCTCGCCATTTCCCTATAAATCCTAATGTTCCTCTTGAGCCAAACTCCCCACAAAATAGAAAAGAAACTAACTTTGTCACAAAACTTTATCCTTCTTCCTAAACGGAAAACCCAAGAGAAACTCCTCAACAATAGTGTAACCATCGCGATTTCATGCCAAACATAAGCCAAAAGTCCCCAATCAACAAACCCAGAGAGATTGAATAAACTGATAGCCCCACAAAAGCAATGAAAGTCCTCTACCAAACACCCACAAAGAAAACACCATTGCAAGTACAACACAAGGAAAGAAGGCTTTTAAATAAGGTCCATGGTGTTGTCTCTGCCATGAGAAGTCTGCCACACAATTTTTAATTTTCCTAGGGACTTCAACCATTCAGATGGAGAAAAAAAAGGCGTTTAGGACAGGGAAGGTACAAACAAATTTTTCCATCGAATATCCAAAGGGATTCTAACAAGTAATCATAGGAGGGATAATATGAAGCACTAAATGAAATACAGCAGATTTAACTTCTTAAGGGATATAAAGGCCCTCCTTTCAGCTAATATGCTTATGATTTCGACACAGTCTAGGGCTCAAACATATCAGTCTCGGTCCCTTGGACCCCTTTCACCGATTCATTTCACTCAGACGCCTCAACATCTATCATAATAAACAGGTTTACTTCCTTAGTCTCTTATGCATAACCACAACTTGCCGAACCACAAGAAAGAAACATGAACCTAAACTTCAAGCTTTCTCACATGCCCATACAAAGCAGCATCCTTCTAACTCAACTACAGCACTAAACTATAACAAAGCAATCGTCTATCAACAACATTTCAGAATGCTACCTTTTTAAGATCAATTAGCAGATAAATCAAATATAATGCCTTCAACATGCATTGAGCAACAAGCCCACTATCAAGTAAAACAATTGAACAGGCACAATTTCCCACAAGGCAGAAGTACTTACCCCAAGTTTTTAATGCACTTCAATTCCTATCGGTTCAAATTTCCTATCTTAGCAAAATATGGTAAACTAGGTTTAGAACCTATACTAGTCTGAAACGATTTAATAGAGGCTAGGAGATTGTTCAATAAAGTTTTACCGATTGGTTGGCGTGAGTCCTCGCCGATTCGTGTCCGAAAGGAAGCTAACACACAGGGTTAGTTGCCTTGCATCCCGATTCGCGTGGGTGTGTTCGCCGCTCAGGGACACTCGTCTAAGTTTTCCGTCTTCTGGAGGGTGGGAGGTTAGCTTCGCCGGGAAATGTTGGTGGAGACGTAGTCGCGCCGCCGGCGTGCTGGCAGGTGGTTTAGCGTGAGAGGGATAATAGACAATTTCAAATTATGTTTCAATTGACTAAACCCTAAAACTTGAAATTTGATTTCATAATTTTACCTATTTACACTATTTCTATTTTTCAATTTAAAAATATTTTAATTCATTAACCAAATGCACTCTACTAATACATCACATGTTCGACTCAAAAAAAATAAAAATAAAATAAAAGTAAAAACTTTCATGTTTTTTAAAAGTCTTAACCATTTTTTTAATGTAAAAAAAGTTTATACATTTACTTTAAAAATAAATAAATAATTATTTTTCAACGGCATTGAACTAACCTTATATAAAATCTGATGGTATTAATATAACACATGCGGAAGCAATTTAGATCTTAACCACTTTTAGAACACCAATTAGAGTAAATAACTAGCATGTTCATAAGTATTAAAACCTACTGAGTTTGAATACTAACCTTTTGTAGTTCAAATTTCTTTTTTCTCACGAATCGGTTTCGAACCACCACTAGTATCTTCTCCACTATCCTCCGGCCTTAGAACGGGATTGTGGAATCCGGTGAGTGACTTAAACTTGGGAGGGATTTAGTATATATGAAGAGAGAGCTTGTGAGAATTTTCTCAAGGTTTTTTTCAAGGAAGAATACCTTCCATGTACCATGATCACTCTATTTAAAGAGTCATGTTTGCATGTTCATGCAAATTTGAGATCACCAAATTTTGACACTCAAAATTCCATTTAAATGTTTGGGATTATGTGGCAAACATACATGTTTGAGTTAACCAAATTTAGACACCTCAAAATTCCACTTACATGGATTTTTCCATTAAGTGAGTCAACATTTTGACTTTCTTCATTTTAATTCAACAATTAATTTGAATAATTAATTTCAAATTAAAGTAACATTAAATGATTAATTAAACTATTTAATTAATATTTAATATTAATTCAAATGCCAATCCCAATCAATTCCGACACATAATTGACTAAGATATTTAAATCTTATTTAAATATCTCAAATTCTCTCTTTTTGTTTAATTCGTAAATAAAACAAAAATGCAGTTAAATATATCGTACATATGTAGCACATATTCCCTAATTTGAATTCGAACACTTCGAACTCACTCGTCACACTGTTCTATGGTTTAGTTCGATATGAGCTAGCAGAGGGACCTAATGAACCTATAGATCATGGGCTCCAACGATCCAAGATTAACCGATTAAACTCATTAACCTTGTTAACCAACATTCGTTAACTACTAGGACACTCCACTATAGCCTAGTAGTTGCACTTCCCTCACTATAGATATATTTCTATCCATTTGATATAACCATGATTAGTAAGTCGATCCTTCACAGGTTGTTCGTAACTAGAGCTGGGTCAATTAGCCGTTTTACCCCTGAAGTTACTTCTTGTTCCTTATGTCTCACTGATCCTCTTATGAACAATTGGTTTGTGGTCCAACCAGTAAACCGAATCCCTCTCAGGCCAATGAGAGGGTGAGGCCCCTTGTTCAAGACCTGGAGTCAGTACTTAAGTGAACTACTTCTCTTCTATCCCTAAAAGTAGGTAGGAGTGAATTTCATCTTGCACCCCACGCCCCTAGCCATTTACCCAGTCTTACCCCTGAAATGGGAGGCCTATTGAGTCGGCGAACTTGAGTCACTCTCACCCATGCAAATCTAAGGATAATTCCGAATAAACAGGAGTTCATGGTTAGCTTAGAATTAAGATCGAGTTACCTAGGTCATCGAATGAAAAGAAAATCAGTCTCAACAGTAAACGACATTATAAAGTGAGAGTGATTTTCTTCATGGTCCAATCTTAGGACGCCCCTACTCACATGTCTCCACATGTACAATTTTAGTGATCACATTGTTTATAAAAGTGGGCCGTATCCATAGTGTCCCCAGAATAAGGTACTTAGTCTTATCCTTATACTATAGATAATTTTGACTATATGCTTGAACTTGATCAACTCTTGTGTCTCTACATATAATCAGAGTGTTCTTAGTTTATTAGATTTAGATTAATAATAGTAAAGTTCACTTTATTCAGTAACAATATTTATTGAATAAACAACCCTAATAACTTTATTGAAAATAGAATATGTTTTTGTTTACAAACTATTAGTTTTATGACATAAAACCCAACCGAATCAACCCAAGAGAAAATATAGAACAAATTATCTTGATAATCAAGATCAAGAATAAAGAAAACTCGTTTCTAAACTCGTGATTCGAATCACTTCACAAGAGTTTTGATCAATACCACTTGAATGACTCTAGTATTGCAAGTTTTAAACCCAACAACTTGAAAAGAAAATCCTAGCTCCCAACAAAGCTTAAAAAAAATAGAATTTTTTTTTGTTTTTTTAATTCCAAAATGTGAAGTCTCTTATCAAAGAAAAGAATGATTTATATAGTTTTTACTACCTTAACCGTGACACATAACTCCCAAATTAAATAACTATAACTCTCAAATTAAATAACTCCCAAATTAAATTGGCTACTAAATGAGAAATACCCATAACCTCTAAAATGGCTAGTTAATGGTGAGATATCACCTACGACTTTCATTATATCCTTTAACTCCTATATTAAAAACTAGCTTAAATATAATAAACAAATATTTAAATTATAATTAAATAGTGCCATAATGAAATATGTTTAATAGTTTACACTAGTTTCATAAATTCAGCTGAGTTCACTATATACAATTTAAAGTGCATTTAATGCATATCTTTTGCATAACTTTGCACAACATATAAGAGATGTCTTCAACATCTTCTAGAATTCCTTTGATGAGCTCACCATAATTTAAATATAAGTGTACAAAGTTTGTTGTAGATTTTTAGCTCTCGTCCTTACCATTAGACCTTGAGGTATGAAAATTCCTTAATCGTGATTAATTTCATGACGTATAAACAATGGATTCACTCGTTTATAAGAAATGATATTATTAAATCAAATTTGTGGAAGGAGCATGCTCATTCGCTAATTATTTGATTAGGACAACTTCAAGCTCATTAACTTGTGTCTGCAAATATTACTCAAAAGAGGAATCACAAAAAGAGATAGTGCATATAATTTTCGGTGTGCCTCCTTGTTTGGCATGACGAGAAAAAGTTGACTGAACTCTACCATATGGAATGGACATATTTACAACCAAATGCTTATCTTTTACAAAGATAATCACCTGCCTTAGATTTGATTTGCTATATTCCTCCTGATCATTTGAGAACGATCGTTGCTAAGTTCATCGAACACTTCCGAGAGTTCACAAAAATTCAGACCGACTTTAGTTCTCAACATAGAAACAGTAACACCAAATGAATCCAAAAGATATAAGCTTCCGTGCTTTGTACCAACCTCTATGGGATCCAATCTGTAATGTCCCACATCGATTGGGGAGGAGAACGAAACACCCTTTACAAAGGTGTAGAAACCTTTCCCTACCAGACGCATTGTAAAGGCCTTGAGGAAAGCCCAAAAAGAACAATATTGGCTACCAGCGGGCTTGGGCCATTTACCCATCCTTTTACTAATGAAATTTCAATAAGAAAGCTGCAGTCTCCAACGTCATAACAAATACACAGCATATATTTGAATAAATGTAAGTGTTTACCAGTCATACTAACAAACAACTCTATCTTTGATTTCCACACTATCCAACCCAAAAATCTAATGTCAAACAAGATCAATTACCTCCTTCAAGTGTTCCCATGAGATCTTGTAGCTTTGGACACTCGATGCTGCTTTGACAGAATGTCGGCAATAAGCTGGCGACCAAATAAATGTGAGTTCTTTAAGATAAGGTTTCTAGTTGATGAGTCAACGACATAACCCTGACCAGACATCCATTGTAGCAATTGAATAAACAAATCCTTCTTTTCAGGTAGCTCAATGAAACGTGATGTAGCCATCATAAATAAATCCTGAGTAAGAAAAAGAAGTAACTTCATAAAACTAGTAGTAGTTACTGGTTGAATCTAAATTTATGAACATGTTTTGTGTATGTCCATTAATAATTCACCTGATCAATCTTATATCCAGAACAATGGATTGCCTTCATTACGTCATTTATCAAGTTGACGTTACCGAACTTCATGAATTTGAAAGCGAACTTCCTTATGGCAGGTTTAGAAATCAGTCCTGCATTGTCCTAAAAGGAAACAAAATTTTCAGCATAGATGATAACGAAGTATAGAGTCAAAAATTAAATACGGATAAATAAATAATTATTAAATACCTTGACAACGACATAAGCATCTTTGAGAAGTCGACCTGCAATTAGAATATGCAAAATCTTTTCATGGAGTGCCTTGCACATTGTTCTTTTACTATATTTTAATATATTGTAAACCGAAAATGCTTCGGAATAAGCCCGTATCGTCCCAAGAGATGATATTAAAGATGAACAGAGTTCCTGCACAATGTTGCATTTGGAGTGAGCAAACCAATTCTGACCAAGAAAATCTAGTACATTTTTGCCAATGTGAATTTGAAATGTAGAAACGAAACGTGTGATCTCCCGCTTAAAAATTAAGTTAAACAACTCCATTGATCCTACTTTATATTGAAAATTCCTAAATTATGTATGGATAAAGTTCGGGTTCTGTGGCATATCAGTTAGGAAAATACAACACACATGTTTCTTCAGGGGACCAAAACATTTATAAAGTGTATATTAATTGATAGAAAATAACAAAACTTGACCTCATCTGGTTGGTGGCCTTGACGATGCATGTCCTCCAAGGTCCTACAGCCAAGTAGATATAGTTTCTCCTTACAGAAATATTTGATTAAGATATGAAAGGTATTATAATCTGGACTGATTGCTAATTCATCCATTTTCCTAAGCATTTGCATGACACTCTCCATTTCTCCTGCTCTGCAGTACGCACAGAGCATTGTATTCAATATTACAATGTCATATCTATCATATGTGGTTTCAAAATCCTTAGCCAACTGTTTTGCCTCTTCTAGAAGCCCACCTCGGCAAAAAGCTGATATCATGATGCTGTGGGCATACCCATCTGTGAGACGAAAAAAGCATAAGAAAAGAAGTTGGAATTTCTACAATATTAGAAAACCTGAATTGCACATACTGAATAACAAGGATATTGATATTCTCTTAAAATTAAGATGGCATCAGAGCACTATAATTCATGGTGGCCTCCAAAGCCCCTAGCCACTTTCTAATCCTACCTGTCTCCTAGCCACCACTACTGTCTGAACCCTACCGCCAATCAAAACGGCACATTCAACCTTCGGCAATATCTCTTTGGTAGCAGGTTCGCATTTGTAGGGTCGGTTGTTCTTTTTTCTGCGGTGGCCATTTAGAACCGTTGGTCTTTTCATTGTGGCCTAGTTTGCTATTGTTGCATCTCTGCAGTACTGTTGCTTTATTCGTTGCCTCTGTCCTGCACCTGTTGCATGCATTCAACGTCTCTGCATTATTCATGGGTTTGAAATATTTTTGCTCGATTGTTCGTGGTTGTCCTGTCCTTTCAAATCAGGTCTGGTTTGGTTCAAGTCTGGCTAGTTTGGTTTGGTTCAAATCTGGCTGGTTCTATTCATATCTGACTTGTTCGGTTCATCAACTCTTGAAGTTTCTATCGACCAATTTACCTTCTAAAAATTCATGGATATCTTTGGCACAAAGAGTATTTATCCTAAGGCCTTCTCTTGTAGTAATTCGTCTCCGTGGATTATTGCTTCTGGAGCTTCTGATCACATCACAAGTTCGTTTCATATGTTTGACTCATACTCTCCTTCGTATTGCAATTTAGAAAAAAAGAATGTAAGTAGTAGTTTTTGGGTGTACTGCTCATGTTCACATACTTTGTCACTTTTGGTATGATCTTGATCATCGAGTTGTTAAATGCATTTTCGAGTGACTGTTCAGGTAAAAAAGGTTGATGCCAAGTATAGAAACTTCCCAATTAGGGGGAGAAATACTACAAAATGATCCTACCAACCAAGTTCTTGTGTTTAAGTTTTATACTAGAAAAAAATTCATTCAAAGAACCAAGATCCAAGAACCGATACTTGATTCTTTAGAGAACCGATACTTGATTCTTTAGAGAGCCAATGTGAGACTTTGACCCTAGTAATCCTTCTGTCGTTCCTACTTCTTCAACTATTCAAATTATCAATATAAACATTTGCTCATGTTGCTAAAATAAACCACATTAGAGTTCGTTTGTCCCTTGTAGTTAATTCAGATTCCCATTCGACCAACTTGACGGTAAAAAATGTCTTTGGAAATGAAATCTTGAGGAAGAGGTATTTATGAGCCTACCACTTGGTTTTTAAAAAGGAAATAGGATCTTAACAATCTCCAAGAGCTTGGTTTGAGCATTAAAGATTGTGTCCAATCATGTATTTCTTCAGAGTCGAGCAAATCATATTATATTCTATAAACGCGGTGAAAATCTCGAATTTGATTGTGCATGTAGATGATATTATTCTCACAGGTGATGATGAAGCAGGTCTAGTTGATCACAAGAAAATTTTTGCAAGTGAGTTTCAAATCAAGGACCTAGGAGATTGAATATTTCCTAAGAATTGCAAGATCGAAGAAGGGTATTTTGAGATATTTAAAAGGGGCCCTTGAAAAAGCTATTTTATTCAAAAGGCATAGCATAATCACTTCCAACTAGAAGTCTATACTGATGCATATTGGGCAAAAGGATACTTATAGAATTGAAGATTCCTTTCAAGGCACCAATATGAATTTAATGTGAAAATAAAGGTGTTATCTCTATATGTTAATATGTTAGATCCTACATTGGTTGGAGAGAAGAACGAAACACCCTTATTAAAGGTGTGGAAACCTCTCCCTAGTAGACGCATTTTTAAAACATTGAGGGGAAGCCCGAAAGGGAAAGCTCAAAGAGGACAATATCTGCTAGCGGTGGGCTTGGGCCATTACACTATAGCTCGTGATGGAAAAGATGAAGCAGGTACAATATGTATTCCTTATCTTCCAACATCAGAATAAATTGTTGACGTACTAAAAAAAATGACTTCCACAGAAGTAATTCAACAGGTTGGAATTAGACTATTTAACCAGCAAGGGGCGTGTTGGAATTAGACTATTTATGAAGTATTTAGCCTTTATTGTCTTAATTCTTTTCCATAATTATAACAGTTCTTTCTCCTACATATAAAAAGACATAATTTACAAATTAACAAGGGTATTGATAAAATTCTGGAGGGGCTTGACCCCTACAAAGACTCAACGGCAACATGTAGAAAAAGAAAACGCAGAAACATAGATAGGAATGACTTCATACTACATTTTAGTTGCAGTTTATAACTTCAAACCTAAAAGGAGAAAACATACCAGATTTAACGTTTTTTTCTTTCATTTGATCAAAAACTGCCTTTGCTTCTCTAATAGCACCTGCCTTGGCGAGCCCATCCATCAACAAACAATATGGCATCTACAAAATAATAATAATAATAATAATAATAAAATAAAATTTTAGATTCGGAACTTTATGCTGGAAGAATGAAACTTGAAATATTTAAGATTTTTAAAAACAGAATTAAGTCCTTTGATGGAATTAATGTTTCTAAAATAAGCTATCCGTATAAAAATCCTCCCAAGTGTTTTTTTTTTTTTTTTTTTGTTCCAAGGAAACAATATTATTTTGTGAAGTTATGAAAAGCTACATGCATGAGTTACAAAGAGCTCCTTGAAAAGAGAATAAAATGAACTGCCAACAGAAAAACCAAACCAACTTCTGATAAGAAGCACCACAACAAAGAACCCAAAAAAAGTACATAAAATACTCCAAATTCCAGACCAAGGATACACAAAGAAAAATAGAGTTTTCAATAATGATGGGGGCGAATCCATATCGAGGCCTTGGGATCTAAAATCTAAGGCGTATTGTTTTTGCCTTTTTGGAGAGATTTGGTAAGTACATTGATAAATGCCTAGGCCTACGATTCTAAATCTGGTTCAAGAATCCTTCACGAGTGTCCTTACAAACCAACACAAGTCGGGTCCTTTTAGTATGCTTAGAAAATCCCAAGAAGTTAGTCGGGTCCTTTTAGTATGCTTAGAAAATCCCAAGAAGTTAGTCGGGTCCTTTTAGTATGCTTAGAAAATCCCAAGAAGTCACCCAACATAGGATTGTTCCAAACCAAGCATGCTTAACTTTGGAGTTTTTATGATTGAGTCCCTGAATAAAAATGATGTACCTTATTGGTATAGGTAGTAACTATCAATTCTTTTAAGCTTTTCTTAACCATACTGGAATATCATCATGTCCTCGTTTGGATGTGGTATCGGTTTATTCATGTACCCCTCCTTTACTCGAGTGTCATATGTCCACTAGAAGATGTTCCATATTGATATCATCTGTAGTGCCACAAGCCTAAGGTTCGAACCATGATTAAGAATTAAGATTTGACACTTCACAAAATTTTCGATGAGGTTAGGATCTCATTGTTGGGCATTTAAAGTTCTTCCACTCATGTTTATAATTTTTTCCAAGTGAAAAAGTAGTTCGAGCTTTATAGTTAGTGAAAATTTGAATTTTCTCTCTATATAGATAACGTCTTTAAATCTACAAGGCAATGGCCATAACTACTAAGTCCAAATCTAGATCAAATAATTACGCTCATAATCTTTCACCGGGCAACCAACTCCAGGAAACTACACAACTCACTAACATTATTAATAAATGCGATTACGAAGGTGTCTAGAAACTCCTTAAACACTCTATTCATCAAGTCCATGAAAAATTTTGGTGCATTGATCAAGCGTAAGGATATTATAGTAAATTCGCAATCTCATACCAAGAGCTTAAAGTTGTTTTAGGGATATCATCGCCCCTTGTTCTCAACGGGTGATAGGCTGATCGCAGGTCGATCTTGAAAAACACCATTGCTCCTTGTAACTAAGGTAGAGGGTACTTGTTCTTTATTGTTACCATGTTCAACTCACAATAGTCTATACAAAGATGCATGGATCCATCTTTTTTCTTCACAAACAAAATTAGTGCGCCCCAAGAAATTACACTAGCGTGTATGAAGCCTAGTCCAGTCGTTCCTGGATCTGTAACTTAGCTCTTCATCTCTGTTGGAGTCATTCTATATGGAGCCTTAGAAAGGAAAGTTGTTCCTAAATCTATCTCCCATTTTGGTGACAATCCTCGGAGGTTTTTAGGGAACATGTCTATGAACTCATTAACTTCTAATCCCAAAGCCACAACGACCACCGTAAATCTTGTGTCGACCGCACTAGCCAAAAGGGCCCATGCATGTTGGCTTGATCAACCCTATCGCCTTTTACGGAAAGACCATCTTAGAAATGATTTCGGTTTGAGATCCTTTGAACTTGAAGTTTGTTTCTCAATGGTGTTCTGAACACACATCCTTGAGATAACAATCAATGTTGTCATGATTTTCAGCTAACCATTCCATACCAATGATAACAGTATATCATGTCCAAGCCTATCAGTATATCATATCCAACAAATTATATGATACTAATACCTAACAGACTTTTACTTTCTCATTAGCAAACAAAATCAACCTTGATCGGGTGGAAATAGACAAAACATATCCTAATAATTCCAATTCTAACTTAGCTCGACTTCAATAACAATACTATTGCATAGTGACCAATAATGGGTAACGTACCTATCACTACGACATTTAAGTTATCTACCTCCAAACAAATGATGGAAATCACCTTACCTCTCTGTTTAGTCTGCTTGCATTTGCCTGGTTGGAATTTAAGGACTGTCTTGCATCAGGGGCATTATCATTGTAACAGTTGGCAGCCACATGTCCCTCCTTCCCGCATTTGAATCACATACCCGAACCTTTGGAAGTTCAAAAGTTGTTTCTTGAAAGTAGTTTTTTCATTTGCTCCTCGAAATTTTGCTGGAGGAAGAAGATTGTCTTTATCCTATTTATTCTTCCATTGGTTGCACTGATTGCCATTTTTTAAAAATCTTTTTTCAGGTTTCCTTCGTGCATCAACCTTATTTGCTTATCTTATGGAGTCTAAATATGTTGATATTGCTCAACTTTCCGCACGTGGAATTGGCTTTTCTTTGTAATGAGACGATTTGTTGTAGAGAGTTTTACATTAAAAGGACTTTAGAGATTCATCTCCATTATAAGTTGTTTGAAACTCATGCATCCATCATTGAAAAATTAGAGGCAAACTTCTTGCAAAAGTCTTGAAAAAACCCTTCTCGCTCCTCTTAAGTCCACTTCAAATTGAAAGCCTTTAACTTTGTGATTTTTAAGTTTTTTGTTCTTCTGTACTTGATTCTCTTTGTTCTATTTGTTTTCATTTTCATTCCCTTCAAGAAGCTTGTATCCTTGAACAATTTTCTTTTAAATGGGGTCAGGGAAATGCAACGTATCAGCAAATTGCAAGTGTTAAATATGAACCCCCTTCACCTCTGATGGATAGACCTTCAGAAAATCATCCTTCACCCCCTTTGTCAATCAATCTACTAAAGACATCCGCGACCAACAAAAATAGAAAAGGAGCAAGCAGACCACCTTGCCTTAGCCTCCTAGTAGCTCAAATTTGGCCCATCGGGCTTCCATTAATCAGAACGGAGAAGGAAGTATTGGTAATACACGCTTTAATCTAGCCAATCCAGCGAGCTCCAAAGTCTTTACACTTAAGCATTTGAAGGAGAAAGTCCCAGTCAACCATGTCATAAGCCTTCTCAAAATCAAGCTTGAAAACACCACCATCCTGAAGGCCAGCAACAAAGTCATCAAGCAATTCATTGGCAATCAAAATAGGGTCAAAGGATTTGTCTACCTGTGATAAAAGCTGATTGGCTGCAGCTGATTCTTTGATAGACAACTTTTTTAAGCCTCTTAGCTAAAACTTTGGCAATAAGCTTGTAGAGAATAGTGATCAAACTGATTAGTCTGAAGTCAGTTACTTTAGAAGCATGCCTTTGTAGGAACAAGACAAACATAGGTTTCATCGATGCCCCGGTTCAGAATGCCAATTTCAAAAAATTCATGGAACGCCCTAAGAATTGGGTTCGCTCCAATTTGATTACACTTTTTTTTACCCAAGCTCTTCAATCAATCTACTTTCTTCTTTAAATGTGTCTCAATTCTTTGGGAAATAGCTCAATAGTTCAGCTTCATCAACTCCTATTGGAAGGAAAAAGAGAAGAACGGCATCCAAGTAGTGATCTTCCAGGTCAATGTCATGAGACCTTTGCATCCTTCATCGTATTCACTTCTTAAGCCCTACCAATTACTCGACCCAATGGAACTACCAAACTAGAAATTAACAAATTTTGAAACATTAAATTACAAATTTAGTACTTAAACTTTGAAGTTTGTGTATAGTTGATCCCTAACTTTTAGAAATACAGTTTAGTCTCTCCCGATATTTTTTTAAATTCACATATCTACTAGGCACAAAATAAAAGGTTTAGGGTTCCATTAATAAATATAAAATTTAAGGACTTTTTAGATACAAAATTGAAAGTTCAAGGTCCTATTAGACACAAAATTGAAAAATTAGGGACCTAAAACACTTTTTGAAAGTTCAAATGTCAAATAGACACAAATTTCACGGTTTACGGACTAAACTTGTAATTTAACCATTTCGAAAAGTACAAACATGAAAACCAACAATATGGCCATCTTTCTAGTGTGGAGAGAATCATATAAACAAATGGTAATTAGCAAACATCAGCTTCAAATGTACAAAAAGTAATACTACCACAAATCATTGGCACAGACCTCATTTTCACCATGGCCAAGGGCTTCCAGTTCTGATAAGAGTTTCCTTGATTTCTCAAACAAACCTCCCCGGACATAAACCTTCAGCAATGTTGTTAAAATCACCTGCAAGTAGATACTTTTTTATAAGAAACAAACAACTGCAAGTAGACAGAAAACTTGAATACCAACCGTATACAATTTTTTAGAAATGAAAAAAAAAAAATCCGTTGTAAGTATTAAAAAAAAAGAATATATATATATATTTCTAAATAAGCCAGAGAAACTACAATCGAATTTTTTAACCACATTTTTATAACTTCTCTCACATGTACTTTTGAAGCCTAACCCTAACCTTTTTGAGGGAAAAGTTAATGATTTCCAGATTCTCCAGAGTAACATGGACCGGTATGATGAAAATAAACACATTCACATGTACTTAAACATTGATTTCAATATTTGTGCCATCAAGTCAAATATCTTATAACTGTAGAGTTGTCTTCCATGGCATATTGAAATAATTTTAACAAACAAGTATATAACTATTTGTACCCAGAAATACTGCATGCTAACATTTCCATTAAAATTGATGATCTCTCCTGCTCTCTCTTCTAATATGATGACAGGTTAGGTCCATGTTACCTCAAACTCAAATATCCAGACTCTGTGTGCTTTCCACCAACAATGATGGAATGTATACGATCACTAGTGGGGAGCATTTGGGCCCTCTCCATCGGGTGCTCTCAAGGATAGAGATGCAGAAGACTAGAATGCTTTTGCTGTTATCCTTTTCAGGAAAGGCGTCTGCATCCTATCAGACCAACTATATTGGGACCTCGAAAATGATGGCACTTTATCTATTAAATCCATGGTGAACTTCCTCTCGCTAGGCAATTTCTTCCCACTCTTTTCTGTAGTCTTTACAACTCCATGGAAGACTAAACTACCAAAAAGTATTAAAAAAAAAAAGAAATCATTGTTTATTGTTGGGAGGCTTCAACACAGATAACATCCAAAGGATAAATCCCTCTGGTGTATTCTTTGGAAGGACAATGGTAGTGACGCAGACCACTTGTTCACTTCCTGCCCTGTCACAGCCAACTTCCGTTTCCTATCATCATTCTCAAAATTATCCGGATGGTAGCAAAAGTCAGTAGAAGAGTCGAATCAATTGGTTTTTTTTTTCATATAGATTTATCAGTTCTGCACTTCTTTATCATGTGTGGTTTTTGTTTCTTTGTTTTATTTCTTTTCAGTCTACTCTCTGTAGTCTGTTTTACTTATATCCTGCACTCTCTTCTTCATTATCAAAGTGTTGTTTCCTTTTTCAAAGAAGAAGAAGAAGAAGAAGAATGCATTCTAATTACAGAGTGGTTGAAAGTTCAAATTTTTGCTTCCTTATAATGCTCTTGGACTAATCCATTTTTTATGATCCTGCAAAACCAAATTTGTTTTTGTGTTCTCATTGTTTTACAATTAATAGGAATATGACTTTAACCATATAACTTCGTATATTCCCCGAACAAATTACTATGCTTTCTTCTCGATTCTTCTCATAAAAATTATTCATATATAAATACAATCTAAAGTTTCGAAGGCACCATAACAAAAAAACAAACCTTATTTGGTACTAACCCCTTCAATTTCATATCCTCGATCAGCTCATCAGCCTTTTTATAATCTCCACTCATTGAATAAGCATTGAGTAGAGAGCCATAATGGAACATATTTGGCGAATAGCCTTCATTTTTCATCTGGTTGAAGAAACTCTCTGCGTTTTCCAATCTATTATGTGAAGCACAAACAGCTATCAGTGTCCCATACGACACACAATCCATGCATAGTCCATTGTTTTGCAACTCCTTAAGAAGCTCCAATGCTTTGGCATAACCATGTTCAACCTTGATACAACCAGTAAGCATCTGTTGAAAGTAGACAAGACGAAAATTTTTATTTTTCATCATATTAACAATAAAACATATCAATTAAAAGTGTATCTAGCCCCACTCTCCACTCATGAACAGATCGAGATTACTGTTAATAATAAGATCACAAAATTCTTGGCAAAAATATATCCTTTAAATAAAGGATAATACAGCAGACTTTGCTAGAACGAGAAAATAATACTAATAAACAAGGACAATTCAACGCCACAAAGAATACCATACAATTCAGTATAAAATTCAAGAATGAAATCTTTACAACACATTTTAATTACAGTAACAATTGAAAATCACTTATTCTTTCTCCACAATGTGAAATGCTCTCAATATTGTTTGTCAAGAATGGCAACAACCAAGGGAAGAATCAAAGAATGGGTCAGAATGCCAAGACAACTGGATATCTAATCACATAAGTAGCCCCTTACCAACTGGATATAGGTCCACATTTGTTAGACCGGTATTGAATACTTGTTGAGTACACTAAATCTAAAAATAAGAATATAGAAAAAAAACAATAATAAATTTTGAAAGCGAAATACATCATACTCATTTTAAGCACATAAATACATAAACTTATTTGACTTTGAATTTCTTCCCATATAAAAATGTATATTTTAATAAACGAGTCCTTGTCATGTCCTTGTCCTAAATTTTTTAAAATATACATTTTTAGAAAAATATGTATCACCATGTTTGTGGTGTGTCGATCAGTATTTGTGCTTCTTTGCTAGTAAACTTGGAAATTAGCATAAGACCCAAAAAATATTAATTGAAAAAATAAAGAACATTATAGGAGTTCGAACAATAGGACCTCCTACTCTTATACCATATTAAGTCACTACTAAACTCAAACTATTTAACTTTAAGAGTTACGATAAATTTCAATTCTAATAGATTCTCAAGCACCTTTCAAATGGAGTTGTTTGAGTTGTTTTGGTCTAACCAAAACACTAATATTTCTTTTAAGTTATCAACCTCAAAGAAATGTTCAAACGGAGATTTAATAGCCTACTTAGAGAATACTTGCAACATTTCATTGATACACTGACAGAAGAAATGGGATCTAGTTGCTCCTGCGAACTTAATGATCATCCATCATGATGTTAGTGGACCTATCTAGAATTCCTTAGCAAACATCACTAGAAATTCGTCATCTATACATTACGAGAAAGACCAAGGATGCGTTTGGCAATAGAATTGATAACCTTAATAGACACCTTCCATCAATGTTGTGATGCCCAATTATGTCACTTCCACTAACGAAACAAAGTCATGTGTAGAACCATGGACACAAACCATAAACTACGGAATTAGCTAACATTAACCCTCATTTTTTGGCTTTAGGTGTTCTAAGAAGTTGTGGCATTCAGAAATTGCATGGAACCACATGCATCCTCCTTCTCACCAAATTGAGAAGCCAAAGCACTATAGGCTTTCTTTTGGGGTATGTGTATGAGGTCCATAAAATATAGAGCACCCACTTCAAGCTTATTACCTATCCACTTAAAAAATAAATATAATACATAAAAAATAAGCCTCATCACTCATGTTATTGAGGTTCACACCTTTTCCTTTGTCATTACGGAGCTTGACATTGGCATCATGCTCCTTGGCTCTACCTTTAAGAATAATTTCCTTTGTTATAGGATTTATCTCCATTACTTTTCCCATTATTGATTTCCTTCTCCTTCAAAGGACGGTTGTTGTTGGAGAAGAAACAAAATTTTCCACCAAGAATTTAAATGTTATGAGTTTTTAAAGATACAAACTTCCTACAAGAATATAAAAGAAAATCTAGGGGTACACACTCCATGTCGAAAAACTGATTCAGCCACTCAAATGGACGTTGGTTGGTTGCTGTAACCAAAGCTCAGCTGGCATCAATTTTTCTATATGAAAAAACAACTAGCCAGTCAGTCCAAGTGGCCAAAGAATAAGTTTTCAGCCGACCAATTATTCATCGATCAGTATTTAAAATTTTGTGGCTGTTTTAAGAAACCAGCCATGGTTTCTCAAAAAAAGATATATATTTTCTCTCTTCTTCCTCCCATTCTCCCGTCTCCCCTTCTATCATTCTCTTTTTCCCCTTCTCCCCCACCGACTTCAGTCTTATCCCCTTCTCTCTTCTCACTTTCTTTTCATCCATTCTTTTCTCTGGACATTCCTCTCTATCTCTTTTTCTCCCTCAACATTCTGGCTAATGTCTATCTTTTACGTCAAGCATGTTCATCTATCTCCTTCAAGTGCTTGTTCACAGGAGTTCGATCAGTCAAAGTTTGGTCATCTCCCTGCTACAGTTGCTCTCTCACTCTATTTTCAACAGTTTTTGCCAAAACCAACAATCCAGTCAGTTGACCAGTTTCCTAAAGCATTCCAAAACTGCCAACCACTGGCTGGTCAAGATTGATAGGACGGTTATTGGTGTCAGTTTGTGCTCAAAACCGACATTGACTTACTGATGTTCACTGCTAGAGAAATCCCCTATCCCAAAATAACAGAGAAATACAGAAAATAGACAAGTATCAGAACAGAAAAATACCAACTAAAAACCAGCAAAGTTACTGAATAAATTACAAGAAAGGCCCCTGCAGGAATTAACTACATTATAGGAATAACTCAAAAAAAAAAAAAAAAAAAAAA